CTAGGGTGAAGTTACATTGCAACCGGATTGTCATGTTGAAATTGTGATTATCATTTTACTTGATTAATACCAAACCTGTTCTGATTATTACCGACCCTGTTAGGATTATTACAAAATATGTCACTTATTATAAAATCTTTTTCAATTATTATAAAATCTGATTCCCTTATAATGAAGGTTTGATTTCCTATATTTGTATTGACCCTATTCATCAATTCTAATATATTACATATGGGTTAAACTCAATACAGTATACTCCTGAGAGACACCCAAAGACTGCATAGAATCGTATGACATGACACAAAGGATCTAGCTAGATCTTGCACATTTTGATTTGGATAAAACTAGAACATTCAGACATGATAGATGTCATCCGGCAACTGTCTGAGCTCATTGTATCACATATTTAGTTATGAAGATTGTTGGTAAATTCACATGAACAATATTTTTTTATTTTTTTTTAAATTTTTTCTTTATTTTTTTTAATTTTTAATTTTTTTTTAAAAAAAAGGATGACATGAAGAATATTTGATTGAGTGTGATATGCAAGGTTCAGTGTTTTCTGAACTTATAACTTATACCAATAGTACTTACCTAAATCACTGACTTGACTGCCTATCTGTGTAGTTGTGTTTTTAGTAAGAATACCAATATCTTCTCTTCCAGTTGCTAACGTGTCAAAAAGGCATTCTTGGTTATCGCCACAGTTAGTTCGTGCTTGCTGTATGAAATTTATATCAGCAGGGTCAGTCGAGGTTTCATATTGTTCAATTAGTTCATCCAGGAATTTAGGCATGAAATCTAAATGTTGGTAATCTTCCCAGGATGTACCGCTCGCATATGTAAATAGAGACTCTTCTGCTGAAGATACATTCCCTGAAATGAATGAATGAAGGAAAAAATGAACGAACGAACAATAAATAAATTCATTAGTTAATTAATTTATTAAAACAAAATAAAATTAAATTGAACTCAAATAAATATAATTAAATTTAAATTTAAATAAATTTAATTAAAATTAATTAAATTAAAATTTGAAATTTAATCAGTAAATCCTACTTACATTTCTGTCCGAATCGGAAATAGTCTCTGTCAGTGAAGTTTCCATCTTCCTTTGTTGGATTCAAACTGGAACCATCGGGAAGAACAAAATCATTGCTAGGATCATCATCCCAGTAACCTTGGTAACAAACATAACAACTATATTGTGTATTTTACATAATGTAGTCAGGGGCATCATAACACATGGAGTGTATAAACATGAGGACTACCGATGGTTGTACATACCTAATAGTCCATGCACTTTTGCAAGGAATTTTTCTTGAGGAGCTGAAAATATAACATCTAGCATTCCCTCAGCTAAGCCAATGGATATAAATATGCCGGATGAGAAGGACGCCACCAGACGGTTCTTCTCATTAGTGCTTGCGGTGGATGTTGACGGTTTTGAAGATATTACTACATCCGTCATGTTCACTCCATATGGGTCTATGTGACAAGTGTTAATTGAATGTACATAGATGAAAAAAACACATTATGTTAGAAAAAACGGCACCACGAAGGAAAAAAAAGTAGTTCTATACAAACGTTTTACTCACATTCACTAAGTAACGATTTGTCGAATGTTATACCATCAATCTTCACGATATACTCAGTTCCGTCTTCATTTCTTTCTACTTGGACCTGGCATATCAAATAAATTTTATTGGTCAATTACTGTGGGTTGTTGTACTGTCTAGTTGTTGCCAACAACAGTCATTCAAAATTTATAAATTATTCATAAATATATTCTATTTGAAACAAATTAAACCCTTCATGGAATCCACAGTATCAAAACTGAATAAAGAAATATTGTGTGCATGCTTTTTAGTTATGTTTATTTAACGGTATGTTCTTCTGCACAAAAAATATAAAGTGTTCTTCCTGCATTTTTAGAAAGCATCTTTGTTGCACGTGGGATTTAAGACTCACCGTGGATGAAGTTTTTTCTTTGGCAGCGAATGCTACAAAAATCGTAGCATGATCTACAGGATTTCCATCCTCGTCCAAAGCTTTAGCTGTCCTACCCTGAAGTCTGAAGAAACCATTATCAACTGTAGCCAATGTATATTCTCCAAAACCATTGAATGTGTATGAAACGCCATCTAGAGTCGTTAGATGAGGGTCGCCAATCATCCACCCTAAAAACAAACATTATAGTAAATAGTTCGCTTCTGGAAAACAAATATATGTTGGTATCCTGCCGAAAGTGTTAGAAAATGCAAAATATTTCCGACCGGTATAATATTACACATCTGTCAATGTACTGCCGCAGCGTTCCGTGGGAAATGCCCATTCCAAATATAGAACGATTATGCGGTATTTCCAAGATGATGGACGCGTTTGAAAACGAAGATCAAGGCCAAAATGTTCTAATACTTTTAATCATTTTGCTCCCATCTGGGCTTCCTATATCAAGCGGTTGGTTCACAAAGGATAAAATAAGGACATAGTCAGCTGGCGCACACGTGATAATAAAATAAATACGATATTTACTATATGGGGACCGCAATCTTGAATGCAGCATAAACTAAATGAGAGACAAGTTGTGAAACGCGTTTTTCAGACTCCTACAAATCAGGACAAAAATACCAATCTTTCACACAAATACGATCTGTTGGGGGTAACCTATAAAATTTGGCCGAATTCGTCGTTTTTGTGTTGAAAAATCCCTTAAAGCGCGGTAGTCGTCGCGCTGTACACGTGCGACATTTGTGTTGATAAACATTGATTTTCCCACAATCCAATGCGTTCTTCAAATGGAAATCACAAGTATGAGGTTTGACCTGGGCGCGACTTGCACTGATTACCGACGGTGACTCCTTCGATACCTTCCAATCACATGAAAATTGCCTAATTAAAGCTTGGAAACGTTTCAGTTCCCGGGGTATTTGAAGCCGAAATTGTCATCTAACTGTAAGCTCGTCGCTGATTGGCTGCTGAGCTGGAATGACATTTTTGGTTTCAAATATCCCAGGAAAGTGTACTGTCTTTGTACATACTTTACGTTATTCTTGTAGTAATAATGTAATAGAGTATTATTACCTGACGCTAACATGTTATTTTTTGGTGTTTTCTTTCCATGTAAACTTTTGTATAATAACTAAAAAACTTACCCCATATTGGAGGAATGTAGCCACCGCAATCACCGGGAGGGCGCTTCTCAGCGTACAAATCGCAGAAATATGGGTCACGTGATAGTGCACAACAATAGTAGCGAGGGTAGATATCATCATCTAGCATGAAACAGAAACACAAATGAAGACTATGTACAGTAATGTCGATT